AATTAGACAAATTTTTTGTCTTAGACAGCAGAAAGCTCCTCGGCAGATGAGGGAGTTTCAAGGAAGTTTCCTTGAAACTTCCTCTGCCTCATGGGCAAACTGCCTTTGAACTTCCTCTGCTCATTGCCAAAATTCCTTTGAACTTCCTTTAAACTTCCTTTGAACTTCCTTTGCTTTTTTGGCAATCTTCCTTTGAACTTCCTTGTGGCTTTTCCGCACCTTTTGTAGAGAAGTAGTAGTAGTAGAAGTAGTAGTAGTAGTAGTAGTAGCATATAGCTGCTGTCGGGCCCTCATATAGCAGGAAAAGACGGGCGAGGAAGTTTGGAGGCAGTTTTGCGAGGAAGTTTCAAATTAACTTAGACTATTTTTTGTCTAAGTTAAAAAAAAATTTTTGTCTAAGTCAATTTTTTTTGCATGTGAAAAAACAAGCCTTAGACAACCAAAAAAATTGACTTAGACAAAAATTTTGTTGTCTTAGACAAAACGAATTTGACGAATTAGTTAGATTCACAAGATTTAGAGATAAGTTAGTTTTTTGTCTTAGAGGGTCTTTAGGGTACGTGGGCATGAGGACCAGGCTCTGGCGATGCTCTCCTGAACAACTTCGAGCTGCCCTTCCCAGTGAACTCTTGGGCCGAGATTTGATCTCCAATCCTGAGCTAGGAGAACTACTCCGTCAAGTTGTCTCTGGAACACATGCAGGAGCAGTTGATGTCTCACGAGAAGGACCTCCTGCAGGAGAAGATGTCTACGGTCCAGTTCAACGTGAAGAGGAGGGCATTCCCCTTGGGCATCCGGTGGAAGTTTCCAGCGCTAGAGGACCTGGTGCGTCTGATCAGACAGAACACAGTGGACAGCCCATGGACAACTCCGACCAATCTCAATGGATTCCTCCAGGGTTGCTACCGAACATCGCTCCAGCACCACGTCAGCAACTTCCTCCAGTTCCGGAAGACGGAGATCTCGAGCAGGCTTCGCCCGGGACAATGGCACCACCTCCTGGACTCACTCCAGCACCGTCCAGACGACAGTCGATCAATGAGCCAGCTTCAGAACCTCCGACCATAGCACCGGCAGAAGACTTCGACATCGAGGAACTACTACGTGAAACTTCTGCCGACTCCGGTGCGAGTTCAGAGGTCGTTCCGGAGCCCCCGAGCAAGATTGCCAGGACGAGCAGCTTGGAAGAGACACACACCAGAGCTCCTGGAACACCAGTTGATCGACTTCTCAGCCGCATCCCACGAGAACTATCTCCGGAACATCATCCAGCAGCAGCTTCATCGTCCTTGACACCAGCTGAGGACCTGGGGTCCGATGGGCGAGTCTCGCGTCAGGTTTCCGAGTTCGAGAATCTCCGCCAGAACTACTACTGCTGCAACGTGGTTCCCGAAGACTACGACCTCCAGGAATGGAGCGGCTCCTTCTTCAACTACCAGCTTGGAGACCAAGTCCTGACCATGAGCTCTGAAGGGTCATGGAACTTCCTGGCAAAGCGGAATGACGAGATCTCCCCAAGAACCTGACTGCCGAGGAGAAGGTTCTCTTCGATGAATCCGACGAGGTGGAGTGGACGGCAGTGGAAAAGACAGGCGTCATCAAGGTGCTCTTGGGCAAATCCTTTCCTCGAGAATGGTCCAGAGCTACACTCGTGGAAGGCCAAGAGCCGCTGGTGCATCCATGGGCATGTCGACCCGGACACTCAACGGCTCAGTACCTATGCTCCTACACCTCAAGGAGAAGGAATGACGCTCTTCCTCCAGACAGCTCTTAACTTGCAGATGATCTGCGCCTTCTCCGATGTCAAGAATGCCTTCTGCCAGAGCCGACCACTTCAACGGGAGCGTGGACCTCTCTTTGCCGAACCCTGCGAGGGACTTCATCTTCCTCCAGGGGCACTCATCCAGATCGTGGTCCCAGTGTATGGACTGGATGACGCTTGTGCTAAATGGCGTCGAACGGTAGCCAGCTTCCTGGTGGAGGATTTGGGTTTCGAGAGAAACCTCATTGAGCCTTGCTGGTATTCCTTGTTTCATGATGGCCATTGCGTAGCCCAGGTGCTTGTTGAGGTCGACGACTTCATCGTGGCGGCCATCCCGGCTCACTATGAGGCCCTGCGCAAGTCAATGACGGAGCGGTTCCATTTCGGGAAGTGGGAGAAAGGTGAAGCAGAGTATGCTGGACGACACATCCGCACCACACCAGATGCCATCTTCGTGGACCAGTGCAAATACATCAAGGAGCAGATCCATCCAGTGCAACTTCCCAAAGGACGAAGAGGGCAGCATGGCGAATCTTTATCGCAGGAGGAGTTCCAGGCACTTCGCTCCTTGGTCTTTAAGATCAACTGGGTTGGAAGAGAGAGTCGACCAGAGGCAGCGGGCATTGCCTCGCTGATGGCTAGTCGCCTCCCAAGGGCGACCATTGGGGATGTGATCATCGTGAATCGATTCGTCAACTTTCTCAGGTCGACGGCAGAGCGCCCCATGAAGATTTGGCGTTTTCATCCTGAAGACATGTGCTTCATCGCTGTCTCCGATGCGGGCGGCATCAACACGCAGGGCACGGACCTGGTGGATGCGGAGGGCCTGCCTATGGATGCAACTCAGGGGGCATGGATGATCCTGACCGCAGAAGCTCTTCCACAAGGAAAATCAGCAGTGCGGGCCTCACCAATCACCTGGCGCTCTTCTCGACTCAAGCGCAAGGTGTTTTCTACATTCGGTGGGGAGACGCAGGCGATGCTGCAGGGCGTGAACGAAGTCGACTGGCTTCAGGTGATGTACAGAGATGCTGTGCACCATGACGTTCAACTTGCCTCCTGGAGGAACTGTCTGAGCCCCCACATGCTGGTGATGAGGGGACAGTGTAAGCTTGGTGGACGGCAGCAACAGTGTTCAGTCACTGACGCGAAGTCGCTGTTCGACTGCCTGCTCCGGGAGAACCCCAGCGGGAAGCAGGACAGAAAGAGCGCCTTGGAGCTTGCCATCATCCTGAAGGATCTCCAGGAGACGCGCTCGATGGTGCGATGGGTTCCCCACCAGAAGATGCTGGTGGATAGCCTTACCAAGCTGGATCCTTTGAAGGCGAATGATGCTTTGCACCAGTTCTTGCGCAGCGGCTGGCTGAGTCTTGTAGATGTGCAGGAGGAGTTGACGTGCCGGAAGACAGATCCGGCATACAAGCGACGCAGCCATCATGCGTCCCAGCAGCGACTGCTGTCCGAATACCAGCAGCAGTTGACTGAGTTCTTGAGCCTCTTGATCAATGATAAGTTGGGAGGGATGTCGAACTTGAGCGTAGGTCACCATTCGATCGATTGATCAAGAGGTTCCTTTTGCATTTCTCGTTGACCCGCCACCGATGGTGGCTCAAGCGGATCAACCCGCGAGGGAAAAGGTCGTGCAATGACCGTTAGGTTGTGGTAGGGGTGTGTCAGGAGGCCTTACTTCTCCTTCAGTGTGGTTGTGCGAACATGAGGCCACCAGACATCCGCTGCTTTAGCGCCAAAAAGGTGCCGAACAGCTTCGATGCAAAGCACGCCACATCCTTGAATTTCGGCATTCAGCTCTCAGCAAGGGAACGAAAGCAAGTTTACGGCTTGTGGGTCAGGCTCTTGCAAACATAAAAACATGTGCCCTTGCACCATCTTGCACCCTTGCATGTGTTCGATGTATGTTAAGGCATGTTCCTGGCGGGAGTGCCCTTAGAGTTTGTGCAAGTTCGTTTGAGCTGCTCTCGCCAGGCAAACAGACTCTTGCATGTTTGGTTTCGACTTGCTTGCTTGCTGCTCGCTTTCGTCACCTAGGTACGAGTACATTCTACCAACTGAACTTGCAAAACCACATCAAGCTTGCGGACTCCTTAGCTTGCGTGTCAGGGTAGCAGAACATCCTTGCGACTTGGCTGAGGCAGCTATGAACTAGACTGCAAGTATCTACAATGTTTTGCCAACCTTGTATATATTTTGTTTTTGACCACCTAATTGACTGATTGATATGAGTCTTTCTTCCAAGGGGCATGTGGGGATCATCTTGCGAGACCAAATACACATGGCAAACCCTGAACACGAATTACATAATTCAGTACTTTTCGACCTTTTGCTGACCAGTGGCCATTGATGAGCAGAGTCCAGACTTGTCTTGACAACATGACGAAAACTCTTTGCGCACAGCTACGATCATCAGGTTTGGATGTGAAGTTTTGACGTTAGCGCTTCTCGCGACAACAAAACAAGTTTTGCGTGGCCGCACCAATGAGAAAATGCGCGTGTCCTTTGTACCATAGAACGAAGTGCATTTGCAGAAACCTAGTTAAACAAAGTCATATTTTCTCGATGCGTTTCAACCACCCTTAACCTCAAACGTGTGGACATTTACATCATTCAGCTAGTCACCTCATCCTGTGAAATGCCTGCGACTACGTGTTCGGTTTCCGAGTAAGAAGATGTAAGAAGATAACTTCTAAGATAACGTATGATAAAGTAAGAAGCAAGCAAGGTAACCTAAGTGTAATGACCTCCACCCTAGTAGCGATGGGAGTAAGAAACAAGCAAGTTGTTAAGGCCAGCTTGCTTGCAGCATCGCTGCATGGCTCACCACTCCCTCCCCTCCGATCAACTTGTGATCGATGACTTCAGCCTGAGCTTGCTGTCTTTTTTACACAGAAGCGGTTTCTACGGTCACGTTTCGAGTCTTTTTGCTGGCTGTTCCACACCACAATGTTAGGATGAAGATTTAGGTTGATTATGCAGTATGCATTATTATGCCAAATTCGCCTTCCCTATATTCCCTTCGGTGTTCTGCAAATAACAAGAGCACACGCGTTTTGCAAACCTTAGGCCTTAGGCACCCGTTTTCTTTGCTGAGGTGCGGAATCTGAGTCAACACCTGTGCGGACACCACAGTGGTAACAGTGCAAGAGTGGTAAGAGCGGTAAAACCGTCGTGACGTTTAATGTGCGTTGTTTAAAGATGCTTGACGTACTCAATGAAGTAAAAAAACATGTTTTGTTGGGCCTCTTTAAGTAAGAAGGAAGAGTTAGCTGCCTGTGTTTAAAGAAAGAATAGTTTTTAAGGAAGAAGGCCCTGTACTTCTTCCCCTTTTTGAGGCCTTGAGAACAACAGCTCTAAGTTTTATCCCAAGCAGCCCTGCAAGGAAGAGTTAGCTGCTCGTCTTCAGAGAATCATGCAGCGATTTGAAGGCACCAGAGTCGTTCGACAAAAATTGTTTAGGCGAGACTTCACTGGGATTTTGTCCAAGTCGAAAATCATGGCCATGCATGGCCATGGCGGTTTTATGATTGGAAACTTGGAAATACAGAAGGCCCTCCCTGTGGTGATAGTGGCGCTTCCAGCACCGGGATGTTCTTGACACATTTTGGCACGGCTTTATATTAGATTTATGATTTGATGGTATTCACTCATTTGCAGATTGTTTTTGCAACACATCCCTAGTGTCGACAGAAACTGTGGAGGTTGCCATTCCTTTCACAACTTCACTCGGCTTAAGGCCTGACGGTCAAGATTACTCTGCTGAAACTTGCAGAAGATATGTTTCTGTTGGGAATCATGGCTGTTGCACCCTGCGAGCGGAATTCATATAACAAGCCGAGTTCAATCTGTACCAGATTATACGCAATTGACCTTGCCTTCTTACGAATCACATAAATTGCCGGTTGTGACAGGATACAGTTTTTCGTGCAGATCTTCATTTGAACCCTCCCTTTTGGGTACCATTTGTCAATATTCGTGAAGCTCTTAGCCTTAGTGCTTGCTTCAGGCATCTGACTGCATTCCCCGAGCTGAACGAAGCGCCCTTAGATCTCCAACCAGCCCCATCATGCCCCATCGATTGTAGTCCACTACACAAAATTAGGAATCGGGAAAGAATCCAGTAGATTTAGTGTGCATTGGTTATCAATCGTCCCCAAGGTCAAGGCGATGATGCAAAAGGCAATGGCAAAGGAGTCAAAGTAACCAAAGGAAAAGGAAAAGGAAAGGAGAAGAAGGGGAAAGGGAAGAAGAGAAAGGCCAGTGCTGGCGTGGCCTTTTCTTCGCATTTCTTTACGTCAAAACATGTGGGCGCTGCGGGGTTTCAATATGTGTCAATGCTTTGGCTTTGAGGCTGAAGTTTTAGAGAACCCAGAGCAAGCTTTGGAAGATCCCAAGCAAGCTTTGGAAGATCCAGGGCAAGAGGAGGTGCGGAAGTGCGCAGAGTATTTGAAGTGTCCAAAAACATTCTGGTTCCCAACATTGTTAGTTGAGTGTTGTGCGGTGCCTTGACAGGTGGACGTTAGAGAGCCGTTCCGAGCCTTGCCTTTCACGAGTTTAATGAGTCAGTCCGGGACAATTCCACCCAATAAACAAATCATGCAAGTGTGCCAGTCACATCAAACAATGCTTGCTACGCGGACTGATTTGGACTGTGGCTTGGCACTTTGCCGCACGGCCGAGGAGATGACGAACCGGTTGAAGAGGCCTGGACACTAGCACGTGTTTGAGACACAAGATCCAGTCCAGTGTTGAAGCATGGTAGCACACCGCACTTTATGGGACATTATATGCCGATATGTGCCGAATGTGGAAATTGTTCAAGATGTTTGATAGTTTCAGTGTTGTCAAGACATTTGTCCCATGGCATCCAACGGTTTTTTTATGGAGAAACGCAGTTTCGTAGGAAAGAAAGTGTGCAGAGGTCAGGAGGTAACCCACTTTGTTTTCTTTCCATTTTGGCTCAAGATGAGCCAGCCGGGGGCGTGAGTTAAGATGGATGAGTTCGAGCTCCTGCTGGCCATCGTGTTCTTGGCCGGTGGGGGTTTCGGCTTGCTGGTGGGGTGGTGGCTTGGTTCCCGCCGGGTGGGAACACCTTGTCAGGTGTTTCAGCCGTGCACGACTTTGGTGGCAGAGATCACCCAACGTCGTCGCGGCACCAAGCATGGCGAACCACCCTTTACCTACGGACACCGAAATGGCAGCGCTCACAGATCTCCCAGCGACCGTTAGGTGGTGTGCCTTGGATCAAGCTGTTTGGAGAGAGATCAACAATGCCTTCGGTCAGTTTCCCAATATTCGGTTGCTGGCTCACGCCCCTCCGGAAGGGATCGCCACAGCTCTTGAGCACATGGAGCTGCGAAGAGTGGGGGGCTGATGGGGCTCTCCTGGACCCGCCGACTAGGCCTTTGACAATGGTTGAGATGGTTCAGACTGCTTTGGTTTGGAGAGTGTGCAGGAAATGTTTTGGTCTTGAGGACATTGACATCCTTGCACCTGGTGTTGTTGCAAGACTATCAGCACCCACCCCAGCGGCAGTAGCAATGGCACCAGCACCCATGGCAGTTGGAGGAACCACAAAGCAGTTGGGGGTACAAAAGATGAAAGTTTCTCAGATTGCTGACCAACTGGATGATACGGAGCTAGAGTTGGTAGGTAAAGCTGAGGTGGACGAGGCCTATGCACAGTACAGGTTGGTCATGGGCGCCGATCCTGTCAAGGAGACAGAACCTACAGCTGAGCAACTGACGGTGATGATCAACAAGGTGGTCACAAGAGGAGCTGCGCCATATGCAGACTTCTCCGTGCTCACACCCTATGCCAGACGGACACAACGTCAGCTGAAGGCCAAAGGGTTCCTGCTCCAGGAGGACGGCGCATGGAAGCAAACGGAGGTGGCTGGCCCACCAAACTTTGCAGCATGGACATCGTGCTGGGATGTGTACAGGACCATTTTGCTGATGCTTCGTCACAACCCATCGACCAGGTGGTGAGAAGAAGCCAGTGGTCACTTGGGCTGCTCTGGATGAATACTTCAGGAACATTGCAACATTGAATCGTCAATATCCAGAATGCTGGCACCTCATCCTACAGGCCGAGGACCGTTGTCGCAGTGACCACCTGGAGAGGATCAGGAGATCGTTGACGAGGGCGGCAATTGAAGCACGACTTCCAATGGACCTCAGTTTCGATGTTCAGCAGCCATGGATTGGGGTGTTCACCCACGCAGCACGTGATCAGACTTACTGGAATCAAGAAGTTCAGATCCCGGCTCAAGCCTTCATCGCACGGCAGGGAGGCAGATCTATGAGCAGGCAAGAGGCCGAGGGTATGGACATGACAGATGCAGAAAGAGATGCATCGCGTGCAGCGAAGGGAGCACCTCGTCCACATGGTGAAGGAGAGTCCAAAAGTGCAAAACGACGCAGAAGAGAGAAGGAAAAGAGAGAGGAGGATTGGAGAAAGAGTCGTGTGCAGCCGGTGAACCAGTATGAGTCTTACAGCTGGAGAGGTTCAGGCAGCAGTAAGGCAGAAGGCAAAGGAAAGATGCAGCACCCTCGGAAGTATGGCCAATTCTTCGTGACGGATCGTGATGGCAACCAGATTTGCTACAAGTTCGCGAAGGGTCAACCGGGTGCCTGCCAAGAACCATGTGGTGATCATCGAGCTCATGTATGCCAGATTTGTCTTGTGCAGCGCCCAAATGTCCAATGCAGCAAGGGCAAGTCGGGCGACAAGAGCGGGGGTGGAAAAGGGAAGTGAGAGGAGGAGGAAGCAGCGCATGACTTCGCAGATTCGGGTGATGAACAAATTGTTTTAGAGCCGGAAGATGTGAAGGTTACAGCAGAATTTACGAATGAGGTCAATGATGTTTCAATGCAAGAGCAAAACAGACAATTCATTTTTGCAGAGTTTTTCGCTGGAATGGGAGGTCTCTCAGAAGCAATGAGGTTCATGTCTGGCGGACGGATCTCCGTCTGTGCGACGTGGGACGGATATGCTGGGGGATGGAACATTCTGGACGAAGAGGACTACAAGGCCGCGACGAACTTGTGCGCCACAGAGATAGATCACGGTCACTTTGCGCCCCCTTGCCGAACCTTGACACGAGCAAGACGGTCTGATCAATTTGGACAGGTGCCTGTGTTGAGGAGCGACAAATATCCAGAGGGATGGGGGGACCAGCAAACAGAGCAAGCGAACGAAATGATTGCACGAATGGTGGTACTATGTTTACTCCTGCATGATCGTGGTGCCACATTCTCCATCGAGAACCCTTGGGACTCCTTCTTGTGGTTGTTGAAAGTCATGCAACGGCTAGTGAAACTGAAGGAGTCTGAGCTGGTATGCCTACATCAGTGTGCCTACGGTGCCTCGTCAAGAAAGCCCACAGGGATACTCGCAACATCATGTTGGATGAAGCTCGTAAGACGGCTATGCCATGAAGTTCGACCCCACTTGCACGCATCCGTACTGTCAGGTAAGGCATGGGACTACGTGGAGGAGAAGTGGGTTTGGAGGACGAGCTTAGCTGCCGAGTACCCATGTGGACTATGCGTCTCTTGGGCAAAGGCACTTCGATGTTGGCTTGAGTCGAAACTGGGCAAACGATGGTTGCAGCAGAGACCATACAAGGTTGTCGGCAGATGGAAGAACGTACTAGTCCGGGCATCCATAGAACGTGGAGGAGACAGCGCTAGATTGCCTCAACCCAAGATGACTGCAAAACAAGTTAGAGAGCAGGAGAACAAAGCCGCAGTTGGAGGACTCAGACATCCACGAGATGCAGTGCGAAAGTCGGAAGAACTTCGACGGACAGGTAGCCGGATACGTCGTGTGGTAGAAGATCACATGACGAATGATCGCATTCGGGCTATGTGTGAAGATTGCACTGCAGGTATGAGCAAGGAGTGGATTCTGGAAGTGCGGAGGGCGTTGGGTTCAGGGTTTGGTGCAGAGGTGACAGACTCAGGACTACAAGCAGACCTTTCGCAGAAGCTTCTGGAATGCGCTGCAGACAAAGATGCTTGTACATTGCCTCAAAGGATGAGGCATGGTTTCCCGCTTGGAATCGAGGAGGAGATCAAGAACAATGGCATCTTTCCGGCAACAGGTGTTGACTCAGCTGCAGTGGAAGCATCACGAAGAGATGGGTTGTTGCAAGACGACATTGATGGAGCTATGACAAATTACTCCAGCTTTGAAGAAGCAGGTGAACCAGCTGAAGAGTTGCTCAGACAGATGGAGTTAGCAAATCGCGCAGACGTAGTGGAGACATGGCAACAAGTGGAAGAGCTTACAGGTGGCGGTGCCAAGTTGACCAGACTAGCGTGCATTGTGAAGCTGAAAGAAAATGGTGAATACAAATACAGGCTGGTCGTCGACTGCAGGCGCTCAGGGGTCAATGGACAGAGCAAAGTGCACGAACGGGTGATCTTGCCGAAGATGACTGACGCAATTGCCTCAATCCAGTCACTTCTGGAAGTCCGTATCGCGACAGTTCCCAAGAGTTGGAGCTGTTTTCAGCAGACTTCAAGGATGCCTTTCACATGCTGCCATTGTGTGAAACGGAACGCAAATATGTGGTTTACAAAAATGGACGGTCGCAATATCACGTGTCGAAGGTGGTTGTCTTTGGCCTGACTGCGGGGCCTTTGCTTTGGGCAAGATTGGCAAGTGGGGCCATGAGACTCGCACAGGCCTCCTTGCAAAAGGGCGAAGGCGCCCTGGCATGCTACGCGGACGACCCCTTGTTGGCTGTGATGGGCACGTGCAAGCAACAGCGCATGAAGACCTTTTGTGTTTGCGCAGCAGTGTGGCAAGCATTAGGGCTGGAGATCTCATGGTCCAACGTCAGCCATGGCCGGTCAATCAAGTGGATCGGATATGAGATCGAGCTGCAAGGTTATCAATATGGTGATGTTGTGGTTCGGCTTGCACCCCCGAAGAGGGAGAAGTTGTTGCAGGTTTTCCAGGACATGCTGACGTACAAAGGAATGATTCCCTTGCGCTTGCTGGTATATGCTACAGGAGTCATTGGATGGGCCAGCAGTGTGATGCCATCTACAAGACCCTGGCTAGCTATGCTGTATGCTGCTGCGACACAACACAAGCAAGGTCCCTCACAGCGCTCGAAGAAAGGGCTAGTTTATTTGAAGCAGATAAACCATGCAGTGAGATGGCTACATGCATTGATCCAAGAAGTGGATTCCCTGCGCCCTGGTTTGCAGAAAGTGTTTCGATTCAGGCCCAATGATCCGTGGGTACTGATCCAGACAGACGCGTGCCCGAGTGGGTGCATACCTGATGATTGCAGGTGAGTATGTTGCATATTGGCATGACAAGGTGACCAATGCAGATTTGGAATTGTTAGGAGCTACAGCAGGAGACCCTGCATTCCAAAGCGAGTGGGAGCTTTTGACGGTCTGGATATCCATAGAGACATTCATGAGAGTGTTGAAAGAGTTGGACTGCAACCCACAGATCTTGCTGAAACAGATAATGCTGCGACAATTTCAGCGGCCATGGACTACAGGGCAAAGTCTCCGTTGATGGTTCAGCTAGCAGCGGAAATCAGCATTCAGATAGAAGTGCATCAGCTTGCTCAGATTCGTGCAGAACACGTGCTGGGAATCCGAAACAAACTGGCCGACCAGCTGAGTCGCATGCAAACGCACGACCCAGTTCCCAGACAGTTATGCAACGCCCAGCAACTGACACCTCAGTCACGTGGCAAACACAGCTTTCGTGCTTGGCCGTAAAAGAAGTTGTGAAGTGTGAAGAGCTGTGTTTACAGGTGAGGCGCAGAGGTAGGTCTGTGACGCTTGCGGTTTGCGCAGATTGTTTTGATAGCGGTAGGCGGTATCGGCTGTCGACATGTCGTGCGCACTGCAGGCCAGCCTCCCAGGCCTGTATGCAGTCTGGGCGCTCAGTGGTCTCATCAGAGTGCATGTGGAAGGGGCAACTTCGTTAGTTTGGCGTGGTTCTGGCCCCCTTGAAGAGAGGCGTGTCAGAGAACGCTGAAGTTGGTGGCGTTGCACTTCACGTGTGCTTGATAGATCACTGTTTCTTGATAGAGCCATAAGTGAATTGTAGGGAGACATGACAAGTGAGATTTTGCACTTCTTTCATGCTTCGTAGCCATTTTGTAGGTCATGCCTTACCGAGGTTGTAGGGGACGAAGTTTCACTCCCTTTTCGTATGTAGATGTTCTGCCTGAAAAGGAAGAACTGCCACCTGCAGTGGTGGCTGCTCGAAGAGCTTTAGGCTGGACAGAGGCAGAAGTATGGGGAGGCAAAGAAGTTGCCGAAAACAAAGAAGGAGTGGGGGTCTGTGCTCCTGTGACGCCTGGTTCCCATGCCTCGAACCCTTGCGGCTGGTGACGGAAGCAGGGGAAGTGTTGACAAAACGTCGCAGGACAGGTCCGTGGATCCCAACCGAAGGAGGGGGCAGACCCAACAGGGGCAGCTCTCAGCTGGCTTTGCAAATAGCTGCAGATCCAGCAAAGAAGGAGTTGGCCCTCAAACAGTTCGGAAGTCTCACTCTGGCCTTGACGACTCAGAACACCAAAGAATCCCTGTTTGCGCTGTGGGAGAAGATTTGTCGCAGGCTGGGGGTAGAAGCACTCCCCGTGATGGGTTGAAGCTGGACCTGGCCAATCAAGTGATCAGCCTCCATTTGCCTGTGCAGAAGACAGACCCAGGAGCGAAAGGTGCTTGGAGAGCTCTCCCGTGCCGATGCCAGAAAGAGGAGCCCGTCACATGTCCATTTCA